GTGACTCACCCACCACTAACCCATCATTGTCAGGGTCTTGTCTCCAACAAGGTGGTCCAGCAAACTGTTAGCTAGCTGTATTTGAAATCTATTTCTGGGAGGCAAGTTCCCTCTCTGGTCAGTGTTGAGTACAGCCTTTTTCTTCTGGTAGCATGAGCATCCTGGGGAGAAGTCTAGTTTCTTGGGCCCATTGTTCCAGCAGTCGAATGGTCAGATTGAGGGACACATATATTGCAGAAAGGCCAGTAATGCCCTCAAGCCCTACTTCCTTCAAGTTAGCTAATCTTGACACTGCCATCTGGTTTGCATACTGACAGTCCATTTTGCTAGCCTGCAAGTATTTATTGAGAGCCAGGTGTCAAGAGCTAACCTGGGGTTATGGTCAGGGTTTTTGGTTTTCCCCAATAAACCAAATGAGTTTTCATTTAAGAAACAATGGTAAAAGCTTCCTTGAAAATCTTGGTTCGTTTTTGCTTCATAGCTATTGGGTCAGTTCCAAAGGGTGCTGTGTTGAAGTGGAGGCATTAGAGGAAGCTGTAGGGGTTAAGAAGAATTCAACCAGAACATAAAAATCTAACTCAGGACATTAAAAAACATCACCTAGTGGGCTGGAGAGCCAGCTTGGTTGTTAAGAGCACTGGTTGCTCTTGCAGAGGACCTGGGTTTGATTCCCAGACCCACATGCTAATTCACAACCATCTGTACCTCCAATTCCAGGGGATCTTCTGGCCTTTGCAGGCACCAGACATGCACATGGTACCCAGACATACATACACACAAAACACCCATACATATGAAAAAATTTTAAAAAGGGTAAAACAACAACAAAACATTATTCAGAGCCTGTCAAGAACTACAGTCAGAAACCACATGATAATTTAAAATGGGGGGAGGGCAGAGGTTCACTAGAAGAAAGCATGAGTCTAGGCTGCGAGACAAGAGGGCAGCCATTGCTCAAGCTGGCTGGGTTGCATCCTGACTCTTAGGCTGCCACTGTCCTTTTAATGCTTCTAAAATGACGCTGGAATGGAAGGTACTTCAGCTCTTTTCCTCGCAAGTGCCTTTCGTTACGATAATAAGAAAATGATAACTCAGATGTTTTCTCCCACAGCTGCTGTCACATTACTCAGAGTCTTGATGTCTTTTTCTAAGCCGGTGAAATGACTTCCTAAATAGGCTGCTTCCTGTCTGGTCTCCATTCCTGGCCTGCTCATTCTTCTACTCTGATTGACCGTATTGCTACTGTCCTACTTAAAACCTCCAAAGTACCTGCTACCTGAATTCAGACCCACACTCGCCAGCTTAACCCCCTTGCTTTGTAATTCTAGCCAGCTTCATTGCCTCCCGACCTTCTCCTACCCACATAGGAAGACCCATGGAAACAGTGTACTCTATACCCCTTGAGTTGGTTTAGTGCCTTAGTGCCCCTCATCAATAATCTGATTTACTGTCATTGTTTGAATGTTTGCCACAGGCTTGTGTGTTTGAATACTTGACACCCAGGTAGCGGTCTGGTTTGAAGGGACAGAGACTCTCTGGAGAAAGTAGGTCATTGGAGGTGGGCCTTGGTGCTTATAATTTGACCTCTCCAGTCTCTGCTTCCTCGTGTGGCAAAACGTGAACAATCAGCTTCCACACATTGCCCTCACCATGGTGGACTACTGTTTTGTTTGTTTTAAAATGTCCTGGGCTTTTTTGTTGTTGTTTTGTTTTGGTTTGGTTTTGGTATTTCGAGACAGGGTTTCTCTGTGGCTTTGGAGGCTGTCCTGGAATTAGCTCATAAGACCAGGATGGTCTTGAACTCACAGAGATCTGTCTGCCTCTGCTTCCTGAGTGCTAGGATTAAAGGTGTGCGCCACCACTGCCCGGCTAAAAATGTTCTGTTTTTTAAGGGAGTGTGTGTGTGTGTGTGTGTGTGTGTGTGTATGTGTGTGTGTGTGTGTGTGTGTGTGAAGATATGCACACACATATCTGTGCAAGTTTGTGTTGAGTGCCTCCCATTGTTGCTCTCTATTTCAGTAGAGTCTCTCACTGAACCTGGAGCTGATTGACTGGCTAGACTGCTGTCCAGTGAGCCCCTCTGAGTCTCTTGTGTGCCTCATAGCGCCGAGACTACAGCGTGTGCTGGCATGCCTAGAGTTTTGCCTGGGCGCTGGGGATCCAAACTCAAGTCTTCATGCTTGCACAGCGAGCACATCACCCAGTGAGCCATCTCCCTAGCCTGATTGAATTCCCCTAAACTAAACCCAAATAAAGTCTGCCTCTCTTAATTTGCTTCTTGTCAGGTATCTGCTTAAAACAATGTCAAGAGTAACTAATACAGAAAATTGACGATGAGAAGCAGGGCTGCTGGTATGATAAGCCTGATCCTATTGCTTGTTATGCCTCTGGAATTGGTTTGTGGGAGGAACCTGAAATGGTTTGGAGCTATGGCCTAGGGAACCTCTAGACTGGTGTAAATAGAGCCTGTGGATCTGTGGTGGCACTCTAGAGGGCCAGAGTAACTATGTAAATGTTAGTGGTGCTGTGCTTCTGAGGGTTCAGAGTAGAGCAAAGACTCTCTGCTGGGATAAGCAAAGGAGCTCATTTAACCTGAAGGGTTTTTTTTTTGTTTTTTGTTTTTTGTTTTTTGTTTTTATCTTTTACATTCCAATCCCAGTTCCCCCTCACTCCTCTCCACCCACTCACCCACTCCTTCCCCCACCTCCAATCTTCTCCTCAGAGAAGGTAAGCCCTCCCTTAGGAAATCTACTAAGTCTGTCCCATCATCTCATTGAGATAGGACCAAGGCACCTCTCCATCCCAGGGCAGAGCGGGCATGGAGAAAGCAGCTGCTCTTGTTAAACAGGTCGCCTTTAGAGAAACCCGGGATTTAGCTGCTGGGGCATTAGGAAAGGTGCCCTAAGGGCAAAACCCTTCCGGTGGAAAGCTCTGTTGCAAATTCATTTGAAATGAGAGTGCTTGAACAGATTGCCCTGCTGGAACACGCTGCCCAGGGTAGTGGTTTTCCAGATTTAACCTTAAAGGAACACAGAGAACACTGCATCTGTGTTCTAAGTGGGACAGGCTATATCCGAGTTGGCGGCGGAACTTGGCTTTCCTCACAAGATGCTGGTATTACAGGCATGCAAAGCACAAGAGTTACAGGCTCACAGAGGCCGCACCAGAATCCACAAAGTTCAGAGGCCAGATTCCACGGATGCGGCTCCTGAGTGGGCTGACTCTGAAGCTGTGAAGGTGACATCTCGGTTGCAGTGGTGACGGCAAGATATTGGGAATGCTAGAAATATGATACTGGTGGAGCTGACCCAAGACGGGACACACAGGATATGTGACAGAGTTGGAGGGGCGGGGCTAACCGAGCCTGGTGCAGTATTGAACTCTTCCCTGAAGGGTCTGGGTCTGCCCTGCTGGGTTTTGGTCATACTTTGGCTCAGTTTTCGATGCTAAGCATCTATTCTTAACTTTGGTAATGAGAATGTCCCCAGTAGGGTATTTATGAACTTTTGAATTATAGGGGCTCCTCACTTTGAACTTCTGTGGAACTGTAAGACTATGTATGAAGACTTTAAAAGAAAGACTGAATATATTTGCATTGTGAGATGGTCATGGACCTTTGGGGGCAGATATAGAATATCCTTGGGTCGATATGAAATGTCCCCAGTAGGCTCATATATTTGAACACGTTTCCCAGCTGATGGTGTGGCTTTGGACACTGTGAAACTTTCAGGTAAAGGTTAATAACTGGAGCAAGTTGGCAGGCAGCTTCTGTCTGGTCTTTGCCTTCTTGGCAAGATAAACACCTCAGGCTACAGCACTGCCTGTTGTCCTGTTTCCCCAGCCACACACACCACATGGAAGCCAAGTTGCTTCCAGTCATCACAATGAGAAAAGTAACCAATACAGAGAGTATCTGCTCAGCAAAGCCTGCTGTGCTCTTCCCTCAAGGAGAATCGATTTCTGGGTCCTTGTAATGATTAGTCCCAGTAGTGTGTGTTGCATAATTTTAAAACTGTATGTTTGTATTCAGCTATGCACAACACCTGGTTCAGATAAGTGAATGCAAGTAAAATTGTTTACTAAAACATCAGGAGAGATAAGTGCTTACCATTTAAAATAACCTTCATAGGATGTTAGTTCTTCAGCAAGTGAAAGCTACAATTACCTGCAGTAACACTTCCATGCAGTAAAAATGGATTTGAACTCATCCAGACTTGAGTCCAAATTCTGGCTTCAGCATATAAAGCTATAAAGCTATGGTTTTGAGAAAGGTTTTTTTTTTTTTTTTTTTTTTTTTTTTTTTTTTTTTTTGCCTTAGTTATTTGTGATCCTCCATTTTTTTCTTAGCTGCAAACATCTAGGCTTGAGCACTTTGTTTGTGTATGTGTGAATAAACTAGTATGTATGGGTGCCAGAAGTCAGTCTTGGTGTACCACTCTTCATTCATCTTGTTACTTATTTACTTAATGTGTATGAGTGTTTTGCTTGCACCATGTGTGTGCCTGTGCCCTGGGAAGCCAGATGGGGGTGTCAGATCTCCTGGAACTCGGGTTTTGAGCCACCATGTGTGTGTTGGGAATTGAACCCAAGTCTTCTGAAAGAGTATTCAGTGTTCTTAACCTTGCTCTTTTTTGGAGGGGGAGTGTTGGGTAGAGTCTGTCATTGGCATAGATCTTGCTGAGTAGGAGCCACAAGTATGCCAGCTGTCCCGTGAGCCCTAGGGATCTGCCAGGCTCTGCATCTTTAGTGCTCAGATTACAGGCATGGACCACCAAATCTAGGGTTTTTCTATGGTTTGTGGGAATCTAACTTAGGTCCTCAAGCCCACTTGGCAAGCACTTTACCAACTGAGCTGGCTTCCCAGTCCCTGGGCATGAATACTCTAAGTAGTAAAGTAAAATACAGGTCTCTGGAATTAGTTTGTAGATGGGGATAACAAAGTGACTCCAGTCTGGTGGAGCCAGGAATCACTGACCCGTGTTTGTCTTTTCTACCATACAGGTCCTGACAGCTGTTCTGATGTACCCTATGCTCAGGATCTTTAGCCTCTGGTTCCACTCCTCCCTCACCAGGAGCTATGTCTCTGGCACTTACTCCATCGTTTTTGTCAACTGTCCCAATGAGCAAATTGCCAGAGACATTGCCAGGTATAGTGCAGGGGCTAGGTGATGCCCCTAAATGTATGGGAAGATACCAGGGGCCATATGGTAGCCCTGCCATTACTTTTGTCAACCCTTTCTAAAGTCCAGTGATGAACTCCATACTTTCTGCTTGGCGTGGGATGAGGAACCTGTTGAATGATCCTGCTTGGAGTGATCCAGGGCTGATCCTATTGCTATACTAGAGACTGTTAAGTAATTGATGTGGCAGAAAAGGAATATGAGGCCCATAGAGACAGGTGGATTGCTTAAGGCCATAAAAGAATTGGGAAAACCTACATGGGGCAATTTAAACCCCCAATTGCTAGTCTAACTTCTTTTCTCATCCCCTTAGCTCAATTCCTGAGGTGCTCATGATAAGTAAGAAAGAAGAGGCTGCCCCATGTATTGGGTGTTTTTCTAGAAATGACTGTGGTGAGCTAGAAAGAGCACTGGGCTTGTAATTACATCATAGTTTTACTGTTGACTGTGCTACTTTTATTTATGTGGCTTTGGGCAAGCGTTTTTTTTTTTTTTTTACTCTTTTACTCTTAGAGGGCCTGCCACCCAGCTACCAAATAAATATACACAGAGACATATTATTACTTATAAATGTCTGGCCTTAGGTTGCTTTATTTCTAGCCAGCTTTTCTTAGTTTAAATTATCCTGTCTATCTTTTGCCTCTGGGCTTTTACCTTTTTTTTTTTTTTTTTTTTTTTTTTTTTTTTTTTTTTTTCTATCCTGGCACTAGCTCTTGTAGACCAGGCTGGTCTCAAATTCACAGAGATCCGCCTGCCTCTGCCTCTGCCTCCTGAGTGCTGGGCTTAAAGGCATGTGCCACTACCACCCGGCTAAATAAAGAAATCTTAAAAAAAAAAAAAAAGATCCAGGAAAAAACAACTTGAGAAAGACTTTCTACTTGCCAAAATAAACACTGGGCGGGCAACTTCTGCTTGGAGTTGTATGAGTTCTTTGTGGTCACGTGAGGATCTAGAAATCAGACAGGTGTGCAGCAGAGTGGGGATGACATTATGAAAGTAGCTCTTGGGAGTGAAGGTGAGACACCACTGACTAAACCAGTTTTCATCTAGTAAGGTAAAGAGGAGAGCTGCCTATCACAAAGCAGGTACACATTTCAGGCAGGAATGACAGGCACAGTCCATGTCCATCTTCTGCAGGCCCAGTGCCAATCATCTCATCCCCCCACCACTGAGCTCACATTTAAAGTGGCCTCCCACAGCTGCTTCTCTGTGTCCTCAGATGCTGTGTGTGCAGTTACAGGACATGATGGTTTGAAGGTGGATGTAAAAAGGCGATCCCCACCCTTCTGTTGCTTTAACTAAATGTCACAGAATAGATAATTTATTTTTAAATAAAGATTTATTTCACCTTCTGGTTGTAGCTCTGGGAATTCCAAGAGCATGGTACTTGGCATCTGACAGGAGCCTTCTGCCTGCATTATAACATGGCACAGGGCATCCCTGGAGGTAGAGGGCAAGCTTGCTGATTCGCCCTCTCTTCCTTTCCTTTTGAAGTCACTAATGTCACCATGGGGGCCCCACCATCACAACCTCACTGACCACCCTCTAAAAGCTCTCCCTCCAAACTCATTAACAGGATTTGTGGGATTAGATTCCAGCACAGGAATTTTGGGGACACACTCAAACTGTGGTACTCTCCCTTTGGCCCCCAGCATTCTTCTTCTTCTTCTTCTTCTTCTTCTTCTTCTTCTTCTTCTTTTTTTTTTTTGGTTTTTCGAGACAGGGTTTCTCTGTGTGACTTTGGAGCCTATCCTGGCACTCACTCTGTAGACCAGGCTGGCCTCGAACTCACAGAGATCCACCTGCCTCTGCCTCCCAAGTGCTGGGATTAAAGGTGTGCGCCACCAACGCCCGGCTGCCCACAGCATTCTTAACCTGACATAGAAAACTGTGCTCTTCTGTCCGCATAGCCCTGACATTGAACTAGCTACAGCACCCTTTCAAAAGTCCCAAATCCAGCTCTCATCTGAATTCATTTGGGTGAGACTCAAAACACACCTGAAGCAAAGCGACTTCACTGGCTTGTGAAGTCAAACAAATTACCTGTTCTAAAGTACAATGGTGAAGCTGGCATAGAGCAGACATTTACATTTCCAAATAGAGAAATAAGCAAGCAGTAGGGAGTAGCTGGTCTCAGGTGTCTTACTTAGGGTTGTCATTGCTGTGATGAAACACCATGATCAAAAAAGCAAGTTGGGGAGGAAAGGGTTTATTTGGCTTACACTTCAGCATTGCTGTTCATCACTGAAGGAAGTCAGGACAGGAACTCAAATGGGGCAGGAACCTGGAGGCAGGAGCTGATGCAGAGGCCATGGAGGGGTACTGCTTCCTGCCTTGTTCCTGATGGCTTACTCAGCCTGCTTCCTTTTAGAACCCAGGACCACCAGCCCAGGGATGGCCCCACCCACAATGGGCTGGGCTCTCCCCCATCAATCACTAATTAAGAAAATACCCCCACAGACTTGCCTATAGCCACATTTCTCTCTCTCTCTCTCTCTCTCTCTCTCTCTCTCTCTCTCTCTCTGTGTGTGTGTGTGTGTGAATGTGTCTCTCTCTCTTTTAGAAATTTATCTGTTCATTTATTTGTGGTTTTATGTGCATTGGTGTTTTGCTATGGGTGTCGGATCCCCTGGAACTGGAGTTAAGTTGTGAGCTGCCATGTGGGTGCTGGGAATTGAACCCCCGGTCCTCCTGAAGAGCAGCCAGTGCTCTTAGCCACTGAGCCGTCATCTCTCCAGCTACCTACAGCCACATCTTATAGGTGCTTTTTCTCAAGTGAGTGTTCTTCCTCTCTAGTGACTATAGTTTGTGTCAAGTTGGTATAAAACTAGCTCTGCTGGTAGCTCTACAGTTTTGTGTCTTGATAGCAGTTTAGTCCCCATAGCTCTCCTAGCATTGCTTAAATGAAGATTGTGGCAGCTGTGATTCCCACATTTTCACTTCATTAATTACTTGCCAAGGTCCTCACCTACAGCTTCATTAACATAGACTTTCAGAATTAAGTTTACAACATAAGAATTCTCAGGGCATATGTAAAGCATAGCAGGGGACAGACACCCTAAATGATTGTTTGCTTAGACTTAGATATTCATAGTAATTCCCACCCCTTCTCTTAAAACCTTGCATTTGCTCCAGTGATTACCCCTACCCCCCTTTGCTCTAGGGCCATACTGGATAAGAAGTTGGCTGCCTCTGTGAACATCTTGCCTAAGACATCTTCACTGTGAGTTTTGCCAAGGCCAATGGAGGGGAGTTGGGAGTGTTAAGGTTGGGTCCTGGATGATAGAGAGAACATGGAACAAATGGTGAGCTGTTGGAGAATGTTTAAAAGGCATTTAATCAACACTTCACAGTTGACTTGTATTCAGAGTTTATGTTTATTGTCAATTTGTGTCATCCAAGGAAAGCAAAAAAAATAATAATAAAAAGTTATGTATAGAGAAAGGAGGGAAAAGCCATGCTATTGCTCAGCTGCTCACTTCCTTTTGAGCATGGCTCCATGACTTGGCTTTCCTTTTGATCTCTAAGCCTTAGCCTAGGTCTGTTGAATTAGTCTTTCTAAGGCTGAGGTCTGAGTTTCTGAATTTTTAAAATGTTTTCTAGAGGCTTATGAATGTAGCTCAGTGGTAGAGTCCTTGCTTGCCTGTTGTGTATATGGTCTTGGGTTTGCTCTCCCGAATAACAAAAAGGAAGAAGGGATGGAGGGATGGAGGGATGGAGGGAGGGAGGGCTAATGGAGGAAGAAGCAAGGGAAGGACGGAAGCAAGGAGACCTCATGTGAAATCTTAAGTTAGGAAGCTGTCTTCAAGAGAGAACCTCCAGGAATGCCCTGGTGGGTGCTAAATGCATTTGTCAGAATGGTTGGACAAACTGACCTGTGGGGCCTTGGCCAATTCTAGACTTCTTTTATGGGTGCCTTAGGGTTTCTATTGCTGCGATAAAACACTATGACCAAAAAGCAAGTTGCGGAGGAAAGGGTTTATCCATATCTCTGTCAAAAGGAAGTCAGGACAGGGACTCAAACAGGGCAGGAATCTGGAGGCAGGAGCTGATGAAGAGGCCATGGAAGATGCTGCTTACTGATTTGCTCCTCATAGCTTGCTCAGTACACCTTCTTTTAGAATCCAGGACCCAGCCCAGGGATGGCACCACTCACAATGAATGGGCTGGGCTCTCCTGTATCAATCACTAATTAAGAAAATACTCTACAGGCTTGCCTGAAGGCCAGTCTTAGGGAGGCTTCTTCCCAGTTGAGCCTCTCTTCTCTGTCTCTAATCACTCTAACTTGTGCCAGCTAAATGGGTTTGGGGGAAGATTGTGGCATCTCCTCTTCAGTAATTTACCTGCTCTGGCAGGTTTGTCAATTTGACAGGCTTCTCTTGTGACTGTCACAATTTGATTTTGTTCTCTTCTCTAGGTACTTTTGGAAGGGAGAAATAGAAGAATCCACTGAGATCTTGTTGGTAAGTGAGGATAGGGGCAGAGGTGATTTTAATAGGACAATGAGTGACATCAAGGTCATTTTCCAGATTCTAATTAGAAATCAGGAACAAGCCTGGGGTGTAGCTCAGCGACGACTTCTTACATGCAGCGGTCCTTAAGTTCAGTCCTCATAGAGACAAAAACAACATCAATCAACTGATTGAGGTTCTTGCCCCACCTAAGATGTTTGAGGCTCACTAGCAATCTAGTGACCTGGTCTGGTGACTGTGAGGAATGCAAAATGGCCATATGAATGGTGGTTTGAGCTGGGATTCAGGTCCCAAATTGCTGATTAATTTTCTTCTTGTCACAGCTAATAAAGACAAAGACTTCCAAGATCTCCAGGCTGTCCACTTACATGAGGTGAGGCTTCTCACTCATTTACTACAGGGCCAGGTCAGGATGTTCTGGGCACTGAGTAAATGAAGCTGGGGAGTGGGGGAGCTGGGGTTTAGCCACGGCTGCCCATAAAACTCCTTGCCCTTCTCTTTGTCTCAAGTTCTTCATCTGGACAATTGACAGTAGAACAAGATAGTTTACACTGGTGGTTTCAAATCTTGGTCTCAGATCTTTAAAAAAGATTATTCAGACTCACAAAAGCATCATGGGTTAATTTCTAGCTTGTCCCAGTAATGCAGTCCTAAAGTTCACACTTTGAGTCCCAGTGATTAATGTCAGGAGTTCACAAAGTGAGGTCTTTTTACCTCTGAGGTCTCCAAGGCTTTGATAAGTCCTTGAAAGTTAACTTTTTAGTCATAAGTGCTAAGGATTTTGAAAACTGTTTTTACCCAACAACAAAACCCAACAACAAAACCATTATATATTAATAACACAAATACCATTTTTTATGAAAAGTAGTCATATTTCTCCAAAACCAAGAAGTTAATGAGAAAATGGCATCATTCACATTTTGCAAATTGTGGCTTCATAAGATAGCTGCTAGGGACAGTTTTAATTTTACAATGACAAATTCAGACAAAATTTAGAATTTTAGCTTGCAAATGATTCTGTCAGTGGCAATCCCCTTCTACCTCCAGTATTGGGGATGGGATTTTGTGTCACTTCAGACCTACTGGATAGAACTGCATTCCAAGAATCATACCTAGTGACTCTTGTCCACATTGCCACTTGAAGCATTGGTCTAACCAGTGGCCTCAGTGCTGGCCATGTGTTACATTGTTTGAAGATATTTTTCAATTGTCCAACATAAGCACTACCTCATGGATTCCAACTTGGTTTGTCTAGTATGGGGATCAAATGCATCGTCACTATTATTCTTGTGTTCTTTCTTGTCCATTGCATCCCAACCACATTTCCCCTCCTTCTACTCCTCCTAGTCCTTCCTCCCACCTCTCCTCTCCCCCAGATCCACTCCTCCTCCGTTCCCTTAAAAAAAAAAAAAAAGGAGGCCTCCCAGGAATATCAACCAAACATGGCATAACAAGTTCCAATACGACTAGACACAAACCCTCATATCAAGGCTGGGTGAGGCAACTCAGTAGGAGAAAAAAAGGTCCAAGTGCAGGCAAAAGAGTCAGAAACACCCCCATTCTCACTTTTAGGAGTTTCACAAAAAACCCAAGCTACACAACCAGAAAGCATTATGCAGAGGACCTATCTCAGACCCATACAGGGTTTGTGTTTTGTTGCTTCAGGCTTTGTGAGCCCCCCGTGAGCCCTGCTTAGTTGATTCTTTGGGTTTTCTTGTGTGGTGTCCTTGACCCCTTGGCTCCTACAGTCCTTCTTTCCCCTCTTCTGTGGGGCTTCCCTTCCCCCCAGCTCCAACTAATGTTTGGCTGTGGGTCTCTGCATCTGCTCCCATCAGTTACTGCATAAAGCCTCTCTGATAATGACTGGGCTAGGCACCAATCTATGAGGATAGCAGAATGTCATTAGGAATCATTTTATTGACTTTTTTTTTTGCCAGTAATGTTTGGTTCTATCTTGGGTCTCTGGGCTGTCATGGCTCTGTTTCCTGGCCATCCAGGCAGTGTCTGGTGTGGGCTTCCTCTCATGGCATGGTCCTCAAGTTGGACCAGTCATGGTTGGCCACCCCCACAAGTTCTGTACCACCATTGCTGCAGCACATCTTGCAGGCAGGGCAGATTGTAGGTCAAGTACACTTCTTAAGTAGCATCCTATGTTGACTGTAATGTGCAGCCTGGGCTACATGACCTTGCTCTGCATGATAAAAGTCATTTCCTTAACATCTTAGGGAAACTAGGATTTTGTGGCCACAGAGCTGTATGTAGCTGAGTCTGAATTTTAACTACAGGGAAGGCCCTGTTATTAGCACATCAGCAGAGGTCAGGGAATGAGGCATCTTGGTTGAACCTAAACTGAACCCTGCAAGGGACAGCTTCTGGGTTAGGAGGGAATTCCAGAGTTCTACTTCTTCTGATGCTGAAGTCTGGGTTCCTACTCAATAGTTGTACCCTAGTGCTTGAAAAATATTAGTATACTTTACCTGCAAGGGACAGCTTCTGGGTTAGGAGAGAATTCCAGAGTCTACTTCTTCTGATGCTGAAGTCTGGCTTCCTACTCAATAGTTGTACCCTAGTGCTTGAAAAATATTAGTATACTTTTTGCGTCATCTGTCTATCTATAAAATGGGTATCAACCTATCAGGTTCTTATACATATTAGAATATATGAAGTATACCTATGGAGTGTTATTGCTAACATATCTGATTCTTTGAGTTCAATATGTCTGTTTATAAAAGATTCTGGCTTCCGTGTCCATGAAATGAGCTCATCAAACTGATAATCTTCTGCTTCTGAATAAACCAACCCTACTTGCTGTAAATGCTACAGTGTTTATTTTTACTATGATTAGTTAACTGTTATCTCATGAGAATTTCCCAAGGGCTCTATGTTGATCAGAAAGTAAGCAAAGAGGGGGCTAGAGAGATGGCTCAGCAGCTAAGAGCACTGGCTGCTCTTCCAGAGGACCCAGGTTCAATTCCTAGCATTCACATGGCAGCTCACAACTGTTTATAACTCAAGTACCAAGGGATCTGACACCTTCACATCAATGCACATAACATACAGTTAAATAAATTATTAAAAAAGAAAGAAAGAATTATTATGTGCATCAGCACATGAGAGACTGACACGAAGACAACTGGCTTTGTGCACTGAGTGCCAGGTGACTGAGCCAAACTTGCAAAAAGGGCCCTGTGGGGGAAGGTCAAGGACTGTTTAGCCTTGAGGCTCAAGAAAAAGGATTTGGGTTGGTCAGCAGGAGCAGTGAGGACTTTGTAGGTAGGAAGGAGTATATAGACTTTGGAGAAGGGGCAGGAAGACACAGTGATGTGTATGGATGGAGGTGAAAAGAGTCGTGAGCTCCAATGTGTATAAAGCTGGTCTCCAGCTAAGTGTCCTAGCTGGTCCTCAGCAGTCCAGCCAAAAAGGTGTTTTTATCTCCTTCTGTAGGGACATTCAGAGAAATTAAGTGACTTGTCCACAGTCACAGAACCAAATAAGGGCAGACATAGAATTTGAACCCACACCTCTAAGACTTTAAAGCAGCAGTTCTTAACCTGTGGGTTGAGATTCATAGTAGCAGCAAAATTACAGTTATGAAGGAGCAATAAAATGATTTTATGGTTGAGGGTCACTACAACATGAGGAGCTGTACTAAAAGGCTGCAGTGTTAGGAAGGTTGAGAACCGCTGCTCTAAAGGCACTGATCCAAACCAGCACCTGTTGAATGGGAAACAGGCTCAGGCAGGCTGGCCCAAGGCAGTGAACCACAGCAGCTTACAGGGGTCTCCAAGAGTCTGTGGGTTGCGTTTTGTCTTGTAGGTTGATCCTGTCACAGTCACTCATTAGAGCTCTGCTTTCTTTCCAAAGGTTGGCTCATCCTTTTGAAATCCCAGAGGTCTTCAGTATTCCCATGGACCCAGGAGATGCTCGCTATTTAAAGTGGCTTGAGGAGGGCATGAAGGAAAACTAAGCAGATAAACTGCAGGCTGCTGGCTTGGCTGTAAGCCTTTCCTGACTGTGCTCTGGGAAAAGCAGGCCTCCTTCTGCCTCCCTAGGGGGTTCCTAACAGCACAGAAGTGACCTATGCATGATGAATGAAGGGCTGAGAATTTCAAGGTCCGAAGTGAAGGCCAGCCCGACCAGCAAGCACCAATTGAAGCCTGTCTCTGAGTGCTGTGTGTTTGCAGGTGGACAGAGGGTGAGGATGCAGGGACAGAGGGGAGGTGGCAGTGAGGGCACTGGGCCTGCTGTAAGTGCTCAGGTGTAAGTGCTCCTCTGCTTCTCATGGGGACAAAGGGCCTTGCTCACCTGGGTGTGTGCGGGATAAACATCTAAAGAAACTAACATGTGCGCTGTTCAAAATCATGTTTTGCAGTGGTACCGTTTCAGGGGTCAGCAGAATTACTTATTATTAGACAGGCTTTTGTTGCTCCTGAACTTGCAGAGGTGAGCCTATACAGACTAAGGAAATATCAGGGTTTCAACACAGCCTGGTGAGCTGAGAGTAAGCTTTGGCTCTTTATTAGACTTAATGTAACAGATATGCAAAGACCCTGGAGACATATGTTCTCAGCCCTGGTAATGAACCTGCTGGGCCAGGGTTCTTCACATTTGCTGTACAGAGCTTCTAGGGCTGACAGAGGAACCCCTGAACTTCTTGAGGAATGCAGCCCCCATCCACATCCTAAGTGAAACTGCCAGGAGTTTGTAAATCACTGTTGTGATTCTCCATTTTAAGCATCATCAAGAAAAACTGCACTTCATGGAATTCCTTACAAGTAGGCATGCTAAATTACACAGCCTAGCCATGGTTTCTCATCCTATGTTGAGGGCTCTTCTATACCTGTCCCAGGATCTCTGGTGAAGAGAACATGGAGCCTAGGGGATGCTGAGCCCAAGGCTGTGGAAAGGGAGAGTTGAACCAGGTCTTTTTCATGAATCTCACCAGTGGTGGTGGTAGTGGTGGTGGCACAGGGAGGTGGAGTCAGGATCCAGACATCTGTGGTGTCCTGGTCTCTTCCATGGGGTGGGGGTTGTTACATACGCCACATAGAACTATGTCCTAGTTCTGATAGCTGCTGTGTGTCTCCAACCTTGTGCCCCAATGGTGACCCAGATGGTGAAGGGTCTTCAAGGGCCATCTGTGAGATCAGGACCGAGGCCCTTCCAAAGGGCCAAAGAAGTCCACTGGCAGTTTTGAGGGCCGAGGAACGGAGATGTCCTTGGTCTTAACCCCCAGTTTCTGAGGTATATACGAGTCTTGAAAACCCTGCTTAAGATGTACCCAGGACCCCGGATGTACCATCAGTGCTGCTTTTAGGATAAAGTTGTTTCTGTGTCTTCCTTTTAGAACCTGTTTCTATCACAGTCTCATCATCCCCCTGTGGCAGATGGGTGGCCTCACTGTGCATGGTCTCAGTGGTCATGTTATCCCCTCTACCCGGTGTTACTCCTTTGAAAAGCCTCACTTACAGGCTGGATCACCAGGTGCTGGAGGTTGGAGGCCTGTCTAAATCTTGTTGGTCTCTTGCACCAACAAGGTTTGGAAATTATTTCCCAAGTTGACATTTCAGTTTCAAGGGTTTAAAAACAAAAAAACAAAAAACAAAGGTTTCTCTACAACATGAAATTTACTTTTACATTTTGAAATAGGCAAAGTATGTATTTTCCTCTCGAATTTTCTTAAACTTAAAAGGTTTTTATACTTGTGGCCTTCATTGGTTCATTTTCAGTGCTATGTTTGCCATCAAAAAAACCCTTTTTGGTGACCTGTCTGCCACAGTGTGCAGGAAAAGGAGAGAGAGGGGTACTTGCTGAACTGTTTAGGAAGTTCTCCATCTTATTCTTCTAAGTTAGGCCTATTTGTCAGCATTTTGCTGTTGAAACCTGAGATCAGAGAGCATAAGCCACTTAAGAGGAAAGTGAGGCTGTGGACCAGAATCTGATTCTAAAATTAACACTCCTGTTGCTTTTTATTTAGGTAAGTTAGTCCCCAAGAAGGCCACAGATCCAGAGAGTCTGCCATAGCCACAGGCAAAGTTACTAGTCTCTAAGACACCTGTCTGTCAACCGGACACTTGTCCATCCACTACCTTGTTTCTTCCTTACCATAGATCTGGAGGGTGTGACAACTCCATGGATGAAGAGAGAGTAGAGTCCAGTGACAGCCACTATCCTACGTAGTCCTCCCAAGATGAGGCTGTTAAAGGCAGGCTAGATCTCCGGCTAGTGTCTCCATGTGGGAACTCCCTTCCAGCAGTTCTTAATGATTCCCAGAATCTCTAAAAAAAAGGCAACTGTGGAAATGAGGAAAAACCTATCTATCTAAAACTGCTCATCTTACGAGGACACAGACACCACTACATTAAGAGTTCCTTCATCTGGATGTGGTGGTGGACCCAATAGTCCTGGCCCTTACAAGGCTAAGGTAGAACAACCCTGAGTTCAAGGCCAGCCTGGGCTACATAGGGAGAGCCTGTCTCAAAAAACAAAAGCAAATCACCTTCATCAAGTAAAGAACGTAAGCAGGTAACACCCAAGTGCTGAGTTGAAGGGAGAGCCTAGCCAGGACACACAAGGGAGTGCCATCAACATCTAATCTATGGGCCTTGCTCTGAGCTGTTGCTGTGGCAGCCAGTCTGCTATCAGTAGGTTTTTCTTGCAAATAATTATATATATATATATATATATATATATATATATATATATATCATATGCTTTATACAAACTCTGAGAATGGAATAAATACATAAACTTTGGAGGCAAAAGGAACACTTAAGGTGGTAATTCAGACACATGGCTATCTTTTGTGCTATTCAGTTAATACACCCAAACACTGTGGCATTAGAACACTATATAAATGATGTTCTCTGGTAACCCCCAGACTATAGTCCTTTGTTAACAGTAATAATAAAACGGTTTGATATGCCTCTCTACTCAACAACCTTCAGGTAGATGTAATGAGGAAGGAATATGAAGAGCAAAGTATTTTAAGACTAATGTGCTTTGGGGAATTTCTGAGAATTCTAACTTATTCCTAAATCCTTTTTTGTTGTCCTTCCTTCCTTCCTTCCTTTCTTTTTTTCCTTCCTCTCTCTCTCCCTTCCTCTCTCTCTTCCTTCCTCTCTTTCTTCCTTCCTCTCTCTCTCTTCCTTCCTCTTTCTTTCTTCCTTCCTCCCTCCCTCTTCCTTTCTCTCTCTCTCTCTCTCTGAAGACAGAGTATCTCTGTGTAACAGCCCTAGCTGTCCTGAAACTAGCTTTGTAGACCAGGTTGGCCTCCAACTCAGAGTTCTACCTGTCTCTGCCTCCTGAGTGCTGGGACTAAAGATGTGCACCACTCTGGTTTATTCCTAAATCCTAAGGGTCAATGCTTGCTGTTACTTGCTGTTACAGTAAAGGGAGAAAAAACAGGTTCCACGTTGTCAAAGGGCAATAAGGGTGGGAACCCAGCTGAGAGAACAGCAGTTGCTGGGTGGCCTCGATGGCCTTACATCCTCAGTCAATCTCCAGGACGCCAAGAGTGGAATGTGAAGGCTTTTCCAAGGACACATTTACACTGTAAACCAGACAACAATTATAACTTTAATATAACAAATATTCAAAGCAGCAATTCAAAACCAAAATCTTTTCAAAGGTGCACAGGGTTACACTGTCAGTTGGCAGTAATGCAGCCATTATCTGTGGGAGTGAAGAGCTAGTGTGAGGGTCAGGTGACCTGCTCAGGCCTTGGGCTGGTTTCCCCAATGGAACAAGCACACTCCTCTCCTGCTCTTCAGGCCCAGCAGGGGAAAGGCAGATGGCCAGCCTGCTCTCTGGCTCTCTCAGCAGCCTGGAGGGCAGATGTTGGAGGTTGGCATGCTTACTGAAGCCAACAGGAAGCCACAAATCTGACCCCAGTTCCCACACTACTGCTGGCCTGGGACCTGGCCCCACTTGGGGATCTCAGTGGCAGCAGCTGTGAGACTGAGAACGGGGACCAATGCCATCTGCTCATGCTTGCCTGAGACAAGAGAGAGAAGCAGAGGGAAATGGGTGGCTGTGTCCAGAGTGAGAGGTGATGTCCCTTTGTAAGGCACTACAATTGCTGAGGTTTAAGGCAAGGACCATCTAACCTACTCCTGGGACCCCCTGAATGCTTGCAGACAGGTGTGGAGGGGTCAGGCCTAGTCATGGAAATATCAGCCCCCTTAATACAGGTCTGATGTTCCCATGCTGGCCATCTTCTTCTTCCAGCTGGCAGCCTGCAAAACCCTGCCCAGCTGGAAGCCACAGCAGCAGTCAGGGAGGCTGGTCCCAATCTGGTGCCCCTGCCTCCCACCCCAAAGGCACTTCTTTCCACTTTCCAACCAAGTTCTAATATTGCTGCAGGCAAATTAAGGGCTTCTTGCCCACCTCCTAATTTTGATTTCACTCCAGATGGGGCTGTTTGTCCATTTTAAGGGTTCTCTTTATACCACAAGGACAAAGGCTTCCTTTATGAAAGGAGGGAATGATTCAGGCCCTTGAAAAAACCCCAGCCTGTCCCCAAAGTGATTGTCAGTTCCAGGGTGAGACAGGTGCTATTCAGGAGAGGGGTGTCTTTTGTGCTTCTCTGTGGGGGTCAAGGCTGGTTTACAGCCAGAGGGGGTAGGAGTTTGTTTTTCACATTTAATTGCAGCATGTATCCCAGCAGCATGTATCCCTGGAAGAGGTCAAGGACAGGAGCCAGGGTGCCCAGAGGGAATGTGACTGTGTGTGTGTGTGTGTGTGTGTGTCTCTCTGTGTGTGTGTGTGTGTGTGTGTCCATACAGTGGTGTGGTGTTGGACTATGATGGGTCTGGGATTTAAACTGACCTGGCTTGGCTCCCCATCATTTCTTTTGAGATCTAAGTGTTTAAGAACAAGGCCAGGCTCCACTCCATGACAACAGAGAAGGGTTATTGCTGGAACAAACTTCTGGGACCCTATAGTCTTCCCTCTGAGCCTCAGTAAAAGACCCTGATCCTGGTCCCTTCAGCAGAGACCCAGCTCATCACTCCCCAGGCTCTGGGTCCCAGGCATTCCAAATTTTCTCAGACACCTTCCTGGCATTAGGGGTGTTGGTGAGAAAGTGGAAGACCCTCAGGGGTTCCTTTCTCTCAGTGTGGTCCCAGTGAGAACCCAGAGAAGGACAGACGTACATGTGCACATAGAAGATGTGTGACAACACAAAATACCCAAAAGGGGTGAGGTAAAAAGATAGAGAACTGGGGACAATGACAATCAGATTCAGGCCTCAGGATCACCAAGGGTCACATCCAGGGTACCATGGAGCCAGAGGAACTAACAAACAGTTCGAGGGGCATGAGAAAGTCAGCGGGGTCTAGAGACACAGGCAATCGGTACAGCAGCACACAGGCCTTGGCCTGGCGGGCAGCAGGCAGGAGCTATAGCCAGGCCCTTATGGCCCTGCTCTGCTTCCCTCCACCACCCTGGCCTGGAGAAAACAGGGAGCCGATGGCTTCTTCTGTCCCTCCTTTGGTTTCCAGGGGTCTAGGTAGCTCCTGAGGGGTAATCAGTAAGGGGTAGTCCCTTCCCATTCCAACAGGTACTGAACTTTGCCCTCTGGTGTGACCCTCCGAGCCAACACTTGATATTTCTCCCCACAGGCCAGCCGTCCAGCTGCACCAAAGTAGTTGGTGATAGATGACTTGAGGTGAGACAAGGAGGAGTCATCTTCACTGATGCTTTCCAACGTGTGTCTGTCAATGCCTTCATCTGGCTGCTCAGGGCCCAGAGCTCCCTCTGCACTGCTGTCTGAGGGGCAGCGTCCATCCAGCTCAGCCGCCTGACGCTTTGCCCGCAGGGGCACGTATGCTTTGGCTGCCAGCTTCCTCTTGCGGCTGCCTACTGTCCATCTGTATCAGGAGGGAAAAGGGGTGAGCTGGGACAATGATTAGGTTCCTTACCCCGAGAGTCTCTTAGGTACCGTGCCGGACCTGGGCGTGAATTATCTTGCCGGAACTTCACAGTAGTCCTGTAATGGGGAAACTGAGGCTCCAGAGAAGAAATCAGCTAGAGAACAGAGGCCAGGAGTCAAACCTGGGTGTGCTTAACTTAAATAGCAAATGTTCTTTGTATCCGGAAGGGTGGGTTGTGTATGCTTCCAAAGTCCCACAGTCAAAGGCCTTGTTTAGGCTGCCTGTTTTTTTTTTTTTTTTTTGGATGAGCTGGATGAGCTACACAGGGAAAGGAACTGAAGGACCTGCACCACACAGGCAGGGGTATTAGCAAAAAGATACAAGAGACAAGCTACATGGTAATGGATGCTGAGACATGGCTGCCATGACCTGAAGCACTAGTGAGAAACCCAAAAAGCAGAAAGACTAGGGGTGATAGCCCAGTGATAGAGCACTCTCTAGTATTCATGAAGCCTGGGTTTGATCCCTAGAATCCAATTAAAGCTACAGAAGGGCAGCCAGCCAGAGACGTGTGAAAATAGAGAAGGGATTCCATCTTTATAGACATGGACTGCAGTTTAAGTCTACTCCCACAAAGTCTCTAGAAGATGGAGGATCCCGAGTAAAGAGGGGCTGTGCCCGGCAGTAAAACAAGTTATACCCTTAGCCAGACAACCAGGGTCTTTTGCCTCCCCCTACAGTCTGCCTCTCTTCTATGCTTAAAATAAATGGATTTTCCTCTTAGGGACCCTGGCATACAAATCAGCCAGCCAGGAACTGATAATAGGAGCCCTGCAGTCTGAGGCATAGACAAACACAGTCATGACACATAGAGGCCAAGACACCCAGAATGAAAAGGACTCTGATAAAACAGCCCCAGAATTGGGTTGCTTGATTAGAGGGATCACACGGCTATCAGGCAAAGGACGTCCCAAGTGGAAGGGATCACAACACCTTAGCCTCCATTCTGGTGACTTGGAACAGAGTGTCCAGAGTAGACTCAGTCACAGAAGACCAGCACCCCTCCCCTACCTCTCTATCTCAAGACTGGGAAGTGCAGAGTAAGTCTTCCTACAGCAGTGAGGACTGCGATCCCTGGCAAAGCTCTGGGGCAGGCCCTCAGGAAGCTCACCTGGAGTCATAAGAGAGGCTGGTGGAGGCAGAGCCGGAGGTGCTGGCAGCATCCGTGGAGTCCACGTCTGAGAAGACTGTCTGGCTTGAGCTGGTACTGAGAGGGAGAGAGGACAAGCCTGCTGCTGGGCTGCTCAGCAGCTTCTATGTCTCTCATGGCATCCTCCATCCAGCAGAGGCCACCTTCTTCTCACTGCCAAGCTTCTCACTCGTCCCAGGCCTGCCTGTCTTATTTTCCACCCATTTAGTCTTCAAAGTTGGGAGTAAAAAAAAAAAAAAAACTTTCCCTGACCAACCTTCCCTGGTGATGGACACACTGGTGACACAGTCCATGAACCATCAGGCACTTGTGCAAAGTTTCACAGATACAAAGTGCTTGAGGAAAATGAGGAGGGTGGAGGTTAAGAATTTAGCTAATGCTGCATAGTTGGAACTGGTAAACATGGACCAGAGTTCCCATTTGACTCTAAACCCCCACTTCCTGCTCCACAACCGATGAACAGCATGACATGGTCTTCAGCGATTTGGGGAGTAAAGTGGTAAAAAATGAAATTCCTGCCCTTGAATTACCCAAATATGGGTGCTATGAGCTCTAAGCAGGCTTCCAACACAGCCTGGGAGTGCCAGTGAGGGGTTCCTGGAGGAAGCAATATCCTGAGTTTTTGGATGGGGAGGGCAGGACACAGAGTGTTGCAGGCAGAGGCCTCCTGGGAATCACAGGTAACCAATGTGAGGGTAGCCATAGCACTGCCAGCGTGAGATGTGAGGCAGGAGAGGATGTAGGGACCTGGGACTGTAGAGAAGGCAGCCTGGGCCACTGCTTTGGAGGGCAGAGCTCACTATGCTGCAAGCTGTGTACAACAGATTCTCTGGCAGCCTGTTGCACATTGGCCCTTTTAACTGAAGTCTCAGAAGGCCCATGGAGACAGTGTCTCCACCCTCAGGGTGTGGGGAGTGGAGCCCCCTCTTCAGCTCTAGAGTAGAAGGTACCTTTTTAAACTCTGAATTTCATCCAGCGTGAAGTCGAATATACTGGCCAGGTGGTGGTTGGTGCTCCAGGCAGAAGTGAAGTCACTCTGTAGACATCACAGAGACAAGATCAGTCTTGTGGGACAACAGACCCCCTGCTCCCCACGCAGCCTTTCCCTCAGCAGAGGGGCATCTGGGATGGCTACTGCTCAGCCAGGGCTGCCAACTGATTCCTTGGGTAAAACCTGCCACTCCCTTTTGACTCTATGCTGTGACCAGAGCTCCAAGTCACCCTCGTTTCCAGTCTTGACCTCCTCTCCAGCCACCCAGATGACTTTCATTTGCCTCTCTGGGTCTCCGTTGCCTCCACTGCAAAGCTCAGAGCCTGCCTTACTCAGAGGTCACGGGAAGCACAGACTCCATGCTGTTGTGAAAATGTATAGCAAGCTGTAAAGTGCTGGAGCGCAGAGGCATTGTGAACACTAGGAGAGTTTCAATGAGGATAATCAAAGCAAGAAAATATGCTGAGATGGCTCTAGGCTGGGCTCAGCCACTGCTGTGAGGTGTGGCATCTAGAGATCGGCTGCCCCCACACAGCCCTGTTTTGCCCAGGATATTATCTACCCCTGCCCCACCCATGTGTTCTCAGGAGAATTTGGGGTAGATCTGCAATAGTGGTCTTGGGGTACGTGGTACTTCCTTGTTTCTCTGTAACTGCAAATATGATCCTGGGGCATTCCTTGGGTCTGTGGACAGTATTGGGGACAGTACAGGGCCCCCTAATGCATGCTGTCCCTGCACATGAAACTGGAGAATAAGAAAACCAGGAACTAACACTGGGAATAGCATCTTCCAGCAAAAACTTTGCTCTTTTTCTTCTATAAACTCGCCTTTTCTGCTGCTGGGGTTCATGAGGCAGCAAACTGTGGAGACAGAAAAGGGAGAGTGTGGCCTAGTCAGAGCTGGAGGGGACAGGATGTGGCTCTGTCAGAAGCCTCAGGAGTGCTGGGGTTGGGGGCAGTATTGGGTCAGGAGGGTTTGGGCCAGGCAGAGGGAGCCAGGGAGGTGCGCATCCTTCAGGGCAGCGAATGTGAGTGGGACCTTTTTCAGAAAGGTCTCTCCTTGCCCCAGGGTCCCTAGACAAGAGGCTGTGACCAGCCAGGAAGGAGAACAAGGGCATGTCACACACTTTGGTGTCCCTTCTCTGCCCAGTCCTAATGCAGCAGGGCTGGGTCCCAGGATCGGGAAGTGAGGGGCCTGTGGCTTCCCACTAGCTTTTCCAGGGTGCCTATAGCTGGATCTTGGGATCCCCAGGCTTAGGGTGGTGCTACCACACTGCCTGGGCTCATTGCTTAGCCTTCTGCCATCTGCAGGAGCTGGGAGCTTGGTCAGAGAACCCAAGCTGGCTGTAGCCACAGCCCTCCACCAGCACTGACCCAGGCTTGTTCTTTCCTCTCTTACGAAGCAGCTCAGAGGTCCCTCTCTCACTTGGCATCAGCCCCCTGTCGGGAAGCAGCTTTCCTGGAGGAGTGGGTGGGACACGGATGCGAAGGCGGAAGATGCACTTCTTTTTCTTAATCTCCTTGCCACACAGGAACCTGGGGTGGGCAGAAAAGAGGCCGGGGCTGTCAGCTGAGACTCTGATGGTAACCACCAGGGCCATCGGCCTCCCTGCCCTCAGAATGAATCCAGTCCCTAGCTGAGAATGTGGCCCAGTGACTCCCTGCCTCCTGCATGTATTCCTGCTGATGGAAAAAATGAAGCTGGGAAACAAAAGGCAGAGAGGACAGGAAAAAAGTGCTGGATACACCAGATGTGGTGCTGCACACTTATAAATGCAGCACTCAGGAAGCTGAGGCAGGGGGATCAAGAGTTTGAACCTGGGCCAGAGTGAGACATTGTCTCAACCAACAAACCAACCAACCAACCAACCAACCAACCAACCAACCATTAGGAAGCCAAGGACTTAGAGAGCCTGGTTGCCCAGTGTCTACAAAGCAAAAGGACAACGGCATGAGATGCAGACAAGGTGGGCCATGTCATAAAAGGCCTTGGACATGACTGAGGGACAAGTGTGTGCTAAGAACAGGATGGAGAAGCATAGGCGGCTGAAGCCCTGAGACATGCTTTCCCAAGCTCTCCAGCTGTCTGGGGCATAGACTGGAGCCTGGCATACAACCGAGCTCTTGGGAAGGCTTTGCAAAGGAAGCCTCTTGGATGGCTTCACTCCCAGGATTGAGGAGAGTGGGAAAGAGGAAGAGCCAGGCAGGGAGCATGGCTGGAGCAGATGATACATGGTAAGAGGAGCCAGGCAGGGAGCACAGCTGAGCAGAGGATACATGGTAGGAAAATCCTTTAGATGAGACCTCACCTGTCAGGTCCTTCCCCTCCCTCCTTGCACTCACCGACTTTTGTAACTGTTGAGAGCATTGAGGAGATGTGGTCCTCGATCTGTCACAGGGGTGCTGGTGAGCTACGGGAAGCAGGCCAGCAAGATGGTCAGCCCCACACACGGGGCATCTGAGGAGGCACTATCCTGACCCCCCCTTCCACCCTCCCACCACTGCCATCTCATGCTCCAGTGTCCTCCAGGTGAGAACTACTGACTTACAATCTTTTCACCTCTCTGAGCTCATCTTCCCACCTGTAATGTGGAGGAAAACTCCTGGCCCCAGTGCTTCAGGAGCTTTACAGGACCCTGTAAAGCTGTACAAGGCCCTGAGTTCATTCCTCATTGCTGCTTTAAAAATGTCCACACTCGCCAGGTGTGGTGGCTCACACCTTTAATCCTACACTCCGGTAGTAGAGGCAGGCAGATCTCTGTGAGTTTGAGGCCAGCCTGGTTTACAAAGCAAGTTCTAGGACAGCCAAAGCTACACAAAGAAACCCTGTCTTGCAAAATCAAAAAGCAAACCAAAACAAAAAAACAAAACAACCGAAACAAAACAAAAAAACAACAACCAAAAACCCCAAACCAACAAACAAAAACCCAAAAATCAAAACAAACAAAAAGACACAAAGACAAGCAAACAAACAAAAAGACTGTCCACACTCTTGATAAGTAATGCTACCCTATGAGATCTATGATTCAGGCAAAGTATGGGACATGAAAGAGATTTTAGCACGCAAAAATGTGCCCTGCCTGGGAGAACATCAGTGCAGCCATTTAAAAGGTTATAAAAACACCAATAATCTGGAATAGCTTAACACTAACCAAAAAGAGATGATCTAAAATAGCATATATTGTTTCATGTAAACCATAAAAAAGTGGAGGAACAGGATATACCCATACTTTATTTCTAGTTATTTCTGAGTAGTGAAAATAGGGATCTTTTAAAAGTATACTTCTGTTTTGATAATTTAAAATTTTCTTTCTATTAGAAACATATTTTTTAAAAAGCATTTATTTTTATTTTATGAGTGTTTACCTGCATGTGTGTATGTGTACCATGTGCGTGTAGCATCATGGAGGCCAGAAGAGGGCGCTGGACCTCTGGAACTGTTGTAAGCAGCCATGCATGTGATGGGAACAGAACCTGGGTCCTGGGTCCTTGGTCTTTGGAAAGGCAGCACAAGTGCTCTTAACTGCTGAGTCCTCTCTCTAGCCTCTATGCATGATTTTTTTAAGTCAGAAAAGTTATTAAAAAATACCAACTCTAGGGCTAGAGAGGTGGCTCAGTGGTTAAGAGCAATTGTTCTCGAAGAGGTCCTGATTTTGATTTCCACCACCAACATTCATAACTCCAGTTTCAGGGAACCCAACACCTTCTTATGTCATCTCTAGTTACCAGGCACACTTGTGGTTCACAGACATGCACATGAGCAAAACACTCATTCACATTAAATAAATTTTAAAAAATACTGACTCTCTCCTTCAAGGCTTTCTTGTCTTACAGCTTACCAAACACTATAAATGGAGACGTTATATACAACTGCATGCCATACATAAGAATTACCTATTTTTTTTTTTTTGGTTAATTACGTGGTGTGTGTGTGTGTGTGTGTGTGTGTGTGTGTGTGTGTGTGCGTAGCATGTGCATGTTATGGCATATGTGTGGAGGTCAGAAGACAACTCGGGGCATGGGTCAGATCTCTTCTCCACTGTGTGGGTCCTGGAGATTGAATTCAGATCCTCAGACTTGCCAGCGGGCACCCTTACCTACTGAGCCAGCTCAATGACCTTTGTTGTTTTTTTCTAACCCTGCCTATCAAAGAAGGTTTGGGCAGTCAGTGGGAGACATCTCATTCTGTAGCAGCAAAGAGGACTCCGAGGGTGTCGTTAGGGCATAGGTCTCTGTAGCCCCATAGAAGTAGTTAGGCCGCCCTCCAGCTCTGACAATTTCCAAGTCTGTTAGTTATGGGCACCGAGGCCCCTGGAGACACAGCACAGAACAAGACCAGCAGAAAACAAACACTGTGTTTTCCAACCTAGCCAGGAAATCTGGTGTGCACCCAATACCTTAGCAGAGAGTTCCATTCTGGCCACACTTGGTGCAATGCCTCAGTTCCCTGAAGCTGAGTTAGTGAGGCTCCAACTGACCACCGCCCCAAACGGAGATCAGAAAGCCCCTTCTCGCCACAGACTCGGAGGCTTTCTCTCAAGAAACTGCACTCAAGGGTGAGAGCTCAGGTATCGACACCTAGTCCTGCACTGAATGACCCTGTGCAGGTATCTCTGTCATCTGGGCCCTTAACATACCTTGCCAAGCTGCAGGAGCTCCCAGTGGTGATTGACAAAGGCCAGAATCTCCTCAAAGTCAAAATACTTCTTCTTGCTTTGTACTCCCAGGTTATAGAGGGCCAGGTGAACTATGTCCACCCTGAGCAAGAAGGCAAGGGGCAAGTGAGGGTCAGGGTAGAGTAGAAGGCAGGGGGCAAGGGACGAGCTGGTAGGGATAGGTCCCATCCTCTCACCATCGCAGGGGCAGCCTCTCGATATACTCTGGGCCTTGGTTACACACGGAGCACAGAAACAGGTAGAACCTGGGGATAGGTGAGCAGGGGGCTGAGATGGGAGAGCACCTGACCCTCTCCTTCCCACCTGTTTTCTCATGGTCAGCATCCACTCCTGGGCTGTCAGCCTCTAAGTAGTGGAGGGGAGAGGACCAAGGGATATGTCTCTATCCCTGACCCCTCTCCAAATATCACTGCCCTAGAGTTCAGCTCCATTCATAGAGAGGTTGGGCCGTAGTAGTCACCACTGTCTCTTCTCTCTCTCTCTCTCTCTCTCTCTCTCTCTCTCTCTCTCTCTCTCTCTTTCTCTCTGTCTGTCTCTCTCATGCATGTTGCCTGCCCACATGCACGCACGCGCGCACGCACGCGCACACACACACACACACACACACCAGCTACTGGCCAAGATTTTAAAAGCATAATATTTGATTTGGCATATATAACACTCCCATTAGCTTAGCCCTACTATTAGAACCCATCTACTTCCTTCATGGCTTCTATGGTAACTTTTGTTAAGGCTAAGGTAGAGACTATCATCTCTCCTTCCTGAGACATCTGTAGAGACTGGAGTTTAATGAAGGCAGGAATTTGTTTAAGGTACCACACAAATCAGTGACAACTAGGCATGTAGTCGAGCATGTTGCTTTATCATGTCCTGGCCCAGCATAGCCAGGGTTCCTTTTATCTTGAGCTGTCTCCTATAGATAAGCATAGCCTATCACAGACCTCCTTTGTATTGAATCTGGCAGACAATCTAAGGTTGCTTCTGTCACCCTTGTCCCTTACACCCAGTCAGCACCTACCGGTCTCCAAACATCATAGGCTCATTGAGGCACTGGGTGCAAGCTTCATGAAACCACTGCCTACACTGGTAGCACTGCAGCATCCGCAGGTACCACCTGCAGACACAGAAGAGCCAGGTCACCCACATCACAGTCCACCACAGACTCACCTGCCACTACAAGAAGGGCAAGAGGTCTGTTGGCCACAATTACCAAGCACCTGGAAGCCAGAGCTATGTAACCTCACTGGATCTTGCATCTAGTAGAAGAAAAATGCATCATTGGCCCCAGCCCTGACACACAGGGTTAAAACGCAGATTCCCTGGTTGGTTTCATTTCAGAAGAACCTTTTGGAAGTGCATTTTTAAAAGACAACTGCCCCACCAAACATCGAGGAGCACTGACTTACTAATGCATATAGGTTTCAATATACTGTTTTCCATGGGTCATTCATTAGGCCTCCCAGCACACTGGGAAGCTCATGGTAATTAAGGTAACTAAACCTATTTGAGAGATGAAACAGTTCAAATGGAATAGTTAAGAGCCCAGCTGGGCTTGCAGGCAACCTCCAGACAATCAGAGCTGGCTCTCAGAGTCAGGCAGGGGAAGGGGCAGTCTGACTTCTACAGAGGGTAGAGACCCTGCCTCTATTATACATAGCCCAAAGGAGAAGGATCAACTGTCCCTGGAGGCCCAGGTATGCAAACAAGACAGGATTCTGGTCCCACAGCCGGTAGGACTCTCCTCTATGACTTTTGCACAGACCCCTGCCCTGCCAGAGGTCTTCAGGAAGTCAGGGTACCCACCTGTTTCCCTGACTGACCTCCACTCCCTTGCAGCACTAATACCACCACCAGTAACAGTTATCAATTTCCATCCCGTGTGAACCTTGCTGTAGTTAGCTCTGTTCACAATTGCACAAGGAAAAATTAGTAAGAGAATTGAGAATCAGGGGAGGCACAGCTTGCAAGGTGCTGTGACAGGTTATAGATATCTCTGTTAGACACCCCCCCACCCGCCCAACTTGCTCTTTTCTCAGGGGGCTCCAAAAAAAGCTCTCTGCCTTCTACTCTTCACTGCCATCTGGACATGCTCTCCCTCAGAATTTACTTTTAGGGCCCACCCTTTAAGGCCCCTAGGCGACTCTCCTGGCTCCTCTCAGACCTGCCTTATCGCTGCTTTTCGAGCTCAGGATCACTCTGGGTCTCCCTCTGGGAAGCCCCATCCTCCTGCAGAGTGACACAGCCCCAACATTAGAATCTGCTCGCCCTAAAGTGACATCAGGGATCCGCCCCTCCAGATCCCACCTCCATGGCCTGACACCTAGATCCCCGCCCTGGCTACTGTCACTACTCCAGGTAAGTCTCCCCAGGACCTGGCCTCTTCAAGATCCACCTCCAAGGCCTGACACTGTCACTGTCACTGCAGCTGTCACTCTGGGTCCATCCCTCTAGATCCCACCTTCACAGCCTGACACTCAGACCCTGCCCCTAGCTGTCATGTCTAGGTTCCCTCTCCACAGCCTAATTCTAAGGCCCCGCCCCGCGGATGTCACTCCAGGTCCTCCCCTCCAGACACTCAGGTCCCACCCCGGAGCTGTCACTCGCCTCTACAGAGCCCGCCACTCAAGCCCCGCCCCTCTGTCTGTCACCCAGGCCCCGCCCCCTGAGGTCTGACTGTCACTCGCGGTGCCTGTCAGCCCACCCAGGAACCCGGGTCTCCCGCACGTGCCCCGCCCTGTGGCCTTACTCTCCAGGCCCGCCACAGTAGCAGTAGCATTGCTGCTGATTGGTGCGATGGGGCGAGTCCCACTCGAGCTCCTCGGGCTGGTAGGACAACACCATCTTCACAGCCTGCAACGTCCTGGCGATGGCGCCTTTCTTCAGAGCGCCGCCTTTCTGGGGGAAAATAGGGCCCAGGTCACCAACAACACCTGTTAGCACACAGCTATCAGGAGAAATGCTGCCAGGGTTGGGGAGACCCAGGCATTTTGTGAGCATCAGAAAAGCATGGAGATTTTTCTCACCAATCTTAAATGCATCCTCTGTCTCCATCCAAGATATTAACAGCATCAGTAGTACTTAGCACAACACAGACAATAATTAACCACGTATAAGGGGCGTGTACATAAAGTTGTCTTTTAATAGCAAATCACCCTTTATCGGGTGCCCATTTTATGGTTGGGGAAACTGAGGTTAAGACAGGCTCTGAAATCTGGCGTAGGACAGAGAGCTAGTAGGTGGCAAAAATCCTGTGTCTCCAAAGCCCAAGTGGAGTCCTTCTGTCTTCAGTACAGGGTCAGTGATGGGGCCTCCAGCCTCAGGCTAGGGAGTCAGGGACTAGGGAAAGGGAGTGCTTACCCTCACAGCCAGTGCAAAGATGCAGCGTCGGCAGAACCATGGAGTGAGGAGGGGTCGGTTGGCACTGCCTGCAATGGGGATGTGGCACTGCTGGTGGTAACCTAGGGCAAAGAGGGCATGGTGAGTTCCTCATAAGGAAGCAGTGGTCCAAGGCTAGCTGGCCAAGGGCAAGCCCTAGGGAACACTGCCTCCCAGCTCCCACGGTACTGTCTGGTAGTGCCCACCCAGGAGCCAAGCTGGTACCCAGTGAGGGACTAAAACACAGCATTGGCCACTTCAAGAGGAACCAAGGACGAGCTTCAGGGCCTGCCCCAAACAGGATATCCCATTGTTCTTTCTCAACTTTCCCCAAGGCCAGAGAGACTCTCAGGGACCGAAGGAGACATAGGCAGCCAGATGTGACCTCAGCAAGTGAGTGGGGGAGGGATCCACTAGTCATGGCCTTCTCTGTTCACCCACTCACCCAGGCCACACTTGCCACAGATGAGAATCTCATTCATGGGCCCTGACGTCTTCCCCAGGCAGATGTCACACTTGGGCTCCTCTCCCGGAACACCGGCTGAAAAAGAAGTCCTCTCTACTCAGGCTCAGCTCACATGATCAAGAAAAAGTCAAAATCATAGACTGGGAGGGAATCAATCCTTGGAGATGGCAGGAGACTCATAGGTCCCCTACTAGGAAACTTTATTCTGGTGTTTAGCTAAATTGACACAGGATTGATTTGCCTTCTAAATATATTTATACCCATAGACAGTTACTACTCAGCCTTAACCAGAGAGGTATCTGTTTCCTGTGAACTGCAGAGTAACAGCGGTACAAAATGCTGAGAATAGCTGATTGTTGAGGGTTCAGCTCTAAAGAGGAGATCTGTACCACATTCTCCATGGAACATTGTGGAAGAGGGGCCAGAAAGAAAGGTAAGAGCTGGAAGACAGAAATAAGGGCTGTGAATTGTTATTGAGCACGACATGGCCACTGCAATCCTGAGCTGTTTTATTTTTTTTCCTTCTTTCCAAGACAGGGTTTCTTTGTGTAGACCTGGGTGTCCTGGAACTCATTATGTAGACCAGACTGGCCTCCAACTCACAGAGATTTGCCTGCCTCTGCCTCCTGAATGCTGAGATTAAAGGTGTGCACCACCACTGTCTGGCACAATCATGAACTCTTAACAGTTGCAGATGATTACTTTGGGTCTGCACAAGAATGGGCCAGATACTGACAGCATAGGGGCCCTATCCCTTGTGCTGAACCATTTCCTATGGATACATTTTGGGGGATAAGGAATTATTATCTTCAGTTATTGTACCCATTGATAACTCCACTGGGCTTTAGTGGGTAATCCCATACAATAGTCACAGAGATGACCCTAATTAAATCAAATGGGTCACACAACCAATCTACATCTGGGAAAGGGGCAGATGGAGAAGAGGGAGGAGGTGATAGGGGTAGGAAAGAGAGCAGGGGGAGTTGAGGAAAGTATAACAGGAATGCATACTGCACATGCATGAAACTGTCAAGGACTACTTAGTTATTAAAGCAATAATACTGACAACCACAGAGCAGGGTCTGAACTTCGGCTATGCATTGGGCTTCCCAACAGGCTCTAAAGCTGCCTTACTGAACCTTCATAGTCCTTCAAAGGTGACTGTTAACACCATTTCTAGAGATGGGGAAACGAGGCTCAAGAGTTAAGGTCCTTGCTTAGACATTAAGTAGTAGAGGAATGTAAACTCAGCTATCTCACAGCTAATTCTTTGCTCTTTTGACCACGTCTGGTTCCCTCTCCTACCTATCCCAACTTGCTTTGTTAAACATTTTTTTTTTACATCAAATGATATTTAAAACACTTATTATTGGATAATAATGTATGTTTATAAAGAAATTTTATGCTTCCATCAACTGTGAACTCACAGACAATCCTATTTAAACTACATTCTCACCCACATCTGGTATTTCAAATCAAGACCCAGACATCCATTCATTTTTCTATAACTATCTCAGATCAGAGCTCTCTTTAAACATACCACATAGCCTTTATTGTACCTAAAGTTACTTTTATTTCCAAATGTTTACCAAATTAAAATGTCATTACAACTTTGTGTTTTGAATCAAGATCCAAAGTCTAGATACAGTGACTGAGTTAACTTGTTTAGTTTATTTTGGAGCTAGGGTTCTGATCCAGGGCCTGTGCTTACTGGGGTACACTCTCTGCCACTGAAGCCACCCCAACCCTAGAGTTACAGACTGGCTTTTCGTTCACCTCCTCAATATTTTTTCATGTTGGTCTTCTTTTGTTAAAGAACAAATGTATTTTTAAAATAATTTAACTTTTATTTTATGTGCATTGGTGTGAAGGTATCAAATATATTTTTATATCAGAAGTATTTGCATGGTTATGTTAAATGCATTTTTTCCTTTTGAGGGGTGCAATGTGCTAAGCATGAGACCTAAGACTTTGTACATTCTAGGCAAACTGCTGCCCACAAATACAACTTTTCAGTGTATATACATGCATGCAGGAGCACATTGAGCAGGGACCACCATCTTGCCTTTTTTTTTTTTTTTTTTTTTTTTTGAGACAGGGTTTTTCTGTGTATCCCTGGCTGTCCTGGAATTCACTCTGTAGACCAGGCTGGCCTCTGCCTCCTGAGTGCCTCTGCCTCCTGAGTGCTAGGATTAAAGGCGTGCAAACCACTGCTAGCTCATTTTGTCTTTTTGAGATGGGGCGTCTCACTGAGATCCAGGGTTCACTGACTAGGCTGACTGGCCAGTGAGCTCCAGGTATCTGCCTGTCTTCACCTCCCCAGAGTTGGGATTACAAATATGAACCACCATGCCAGCTTTCTTTGAAAGGTATATTGGTTTTTATGTGTAAGGGTTTTGCCTGCATGGATGTGTGTGCACCACTTGTGGGCCTGGTGCCTGTGGAATTCAGAAGAGGGTGTTAGATAACCCAGAACTGCACTTACAGAAGTTTGTGAGCCACCACTTGGGTCCTCTGGAACTGTAGCCAGTGGTCTTTTCTTCTGAGCTATCACCCCATCCCACTTTCTTATGTGGGTTCTGGGGATCAAATCTGGGTGCTGGTGCTAGCAAGTTAAGCATTTTCACTGACCGACCTATCTTCCCACACTCTCCTTAAACACATTTGAAAATGATTTAAAAAGTTTTTTTTAGTACAAGAGGTTTATTGCGGGAGGGAGGGTTAAAGAGAGAGGCAGACAGACAGACAGAGAGGACAGGGAAGAGGCAAGAAACAAGCAAGACAAGAGAGCAAGAGAGGAAAGAAGAGGCAAGAAGAAGCAAAAATGATTTTTAAATTAATTTCTAGTTATGGGTCTATGTGTGTCTATGTGTGGGTATGTACACATGAGTGCAGGTGCCACAGGAGGTCAAAGGACATTAGATTCCCTAAGATGGAGTTACAGGTGATTGTGAGCCACCAGATGTGGGTGCTGGGAACCAAACTCAAGTCCTCTGCAAGAACAGTGTATACTCTTAACCCCTTAAGTACATTTTGATGTGTTGCTTCTGTTTTGTTACTCCAGAAGGCTGCAAGGAATTTTTTGTTTAGTTTTTTTTTTTAATGGTTTTTGAGACAAAGTCTTGCTAAGTGGCTCAGGGTGGCCCTGAACTGGTGATCCTCCTGCCTCATTCTCTTTAGGATGAAAGTTTTGTAAAGGCAGAAATGGTTTTACTGTATTTCTGTGCCCTCAGGCCCCTAATGGGATATGGCAGGCAGTAGATGTTCAAGGTGTGTTTGTTGACTAAATGGCCAGGCAAGGACTTTGCCTTGTTCTACACCCAAGGACCAAGGTACCCACACTGAGTCTCAGCCTCCCATTGCTTAATAAAGTAATACATAGTAACTGTATCATGCCCAGCCTTGAGCACTCATCTTAAAGGATGCCAAGAGGTTACTGGCCTGTTGGATGGATATGAGACAAACTGTTCCTGGCTACACCCCTGCTGTGCCCTGCCACTGTACCTGGTGTACAGTGGGACGCTTCCCAAGCCCAGTGAATTTGCGGTCAAATGCTATACCCCCAAGCACTGCGAATTTGAAATAGCTTTTTTTCTGCTGTTGGAGTTTTAAGTTTTTCCTAGAAGTATAACCAGCAGGGGATGCTCATAGCTTTGAATCCACAGAAAACAGGTTTAGGGTGCAAGGGACTAGAGGAAAGGACCAGTCTCCCCTGGCCACAGGTTTTGAAGAAAAACTTTTTTTTTTTTTTTTTTAAAGACCTACAAACTGGCTTAGTCCTGTGGCCCATTTGGCCGACTTCTTGGAACCACCTTCCCAGTAGCAGACTCTTAGAAATGGCCTCCCTACGGCACAGTAGCTCTGGGCTGAGCATATTACATGTATCATCTCATCTAATCTTCTCACTGTCTGGCGAAGCCTGGACTGCCACTGTCTCTTTCTTTCAGTTGAGAAATGGGAACTAAGAAAAATGACATCACTGCTCAAGGCTCTGTAGATAGATCTGGAACATGGTTCAGGGGCTGTCTGACCCTAGAACCTGCTGCAGTGGGCCACATCTGCTCTGTTAAGGATAAATGATATTTAATAGGTTTCTTGTCTCATGCCAATTGTCATAGTTGGTGTTTGGAGTTCCATGAAGAAAGTAAATGGGACAGATTATGAAAATCTGTCCTGTGTATCCTGAATGATCCCAACTAGCTGTATCTTATAACAGTGTCAGCTGTCTAAAGGCAGGGGTGGTGCCCAGCCCAGCCCCCCTTTCATCCTGAAAGCTGACCCAGCTCCATCTAGGTCATTTCATGCTTTGCTGGCTATACCTTGCCCTCACCTCTTTGTCTCAGGGGTAGAGATTCCCCACCAACTTCTTCACATGCATACAGGGAATGTAGTTCACACATACAGCTGAACCCCCTCTCCTCTGGCCTCTTCCTCCTCCCTAGCTGTAGGAGACCATAGCAGCCAACATTCAGAGAGGACACAAACTGTAGGCTTGGGACCAAGTCCTATATACTCTTAGTTCTAACACATGTCTGAGCCCCTCCTCCACCTGCCCTGCCTCTCTTTGAAGTCTGAGCATTCAGGAAGGGGATCAATGTCACACAAGCAGAAACCTGATCATTGTCCCTGGTGGGCCCAAGATGAGTACCCAAGGCCTGGGCTCCATGGACTAGCACAGGTGCCAGGACAAAAGGTGACAGGGGAGAGGACATGGAGAGAGGCACGCGAAACTCTTGACACTCACCGTGCTGTATATCCTTCCACAGGACCCAGTATTTGGAATTATCCTCAAAAGTCACAAGGCAGCTTTGCTTAGGACTGCTGACCTGAGACGAGGAGAGGGAGAAGAGGAGAAGGGCAGCATGAAGAAGCTGCAGGGAGGGCCTGGGTCTCAGTTCTCCTCCATCTCCTGTGCCTAGGGACATCAGGGACAGGATGACAACTGCATGGGAATGCTTTTAAGGGCAGAAGAACAGGCTAGCGCATCACCCATGTCCTGCCTAGTCTGGTGGTTTGCTTAAGTTCTCTAAAGAACCTGTTGGACCACACTGGCCCCTGAGGATGGAGCCTGTGAAGCTAGGCTCTGGATCTTTCTACTTCAGCTTCTAGGCATGAGGGGCAAGAAAGGATGAGCAGAAAGATCCTGAGCCTGGGCCCAAGGACCAGGGACTCACCTTCTTGATCTTGCCAAGGTAGTACAGCCCATCTGTCCACCGGCATAGCACATACTGTCCTTCCGTCAGCTTGGACATCAAGTCTTTGAAGTTCTTTTTGGTCTTAGACAGGGTCCCCTTGTTAGGGAGGTGGCTGGTGGGACCATAGGCTTCCGGAGTCCCTGGGTCTAGAGCTTGAGTCTCCATCAGCTTCTGCTGACACTGGGAGAGAAAGAACAAGATCTTATCTTGCTCCCCGCCCCTGAAACCCTGTAAGGCTTTCAGACACATTGATTGACAGAACAACTCTGGGAGGGAGATATTATTATCCCATTGTAAGGATAGGGAAACTGAGGAGAGGCAAGGAAAGTGGCTGGTGACCCAGAGGCGAACCATAGCTCACAATGAATCAGGCTGGTTCTGTATCATACCATACTGCTTCTCAGAGAGTGTATCTCCCCACCATACCTGGAACGAAGGCCCCACCCAATACCTGTCCCAGGAGGCTGAGGCCTTATTCTGTACGCAAACACTCCGTGGCCTCAGCTCTGAGGAAGCACACACTAAAGACTTCATGTCTCCCTTGAATGTGTTTAGAGAAAAGCCCACCTAGCAGAGAAAACTCTGGGGGGGGGGGCTTGGGAACAGGTATGACATAGCCATGTGCCTTTTGTGAGCCCCCTTTCTGTTCTCAATTATTTGATGATTTCCTGGAAACCAATTCAGGGCATTTAAACCTGCCCATGCTTTTGTCCACATTAAGCCATTGCCATACCAGCCCAACACACCTGGCTCTTCCTATCTCACTGAAGTGCAGCCTTTTGCTCCCCTTTTCCTGAAAATGGTGTCATTATGGCCATCAGCAGTCTTCTCCAGCCAGTGGGCTGCCACAGTGGTTTGTGGAACAGTGGCCGGAGCATCCCTGCCCACACCTGCCCTCTGCCCCAGCAGCCCTGCTTCCGGTTCTGTCTTCATCTTTTCCCATCAGTTAATTCATTCACCTTCTCCTGAGCCTGTTGCTTGCTACTGCCTGGCCCCTGGAATGAGGAGTCCCCAGGTCACTCCAGTTTCCCTACTTCCCCACCTGAATCTCCCCAAATCTTCACGGGTGTTCAGCGTTATTGCCTTCCCCCCTCTATGGGCTCCCCTGGCACCATACCGCTGCACATACACTCTCCTAGGGTCAAACACAGCTTCCTTATGTTGCAGTGTGTGGGGATGGTAGGGGCGGTCCTGCTCTGGTTCCCTCCTTCTGCCTAGGTGCTGGGCACCTGGCGCCCTGGCCTGCAGACAGGAAGATAGCTCTGGGTGTGTTTTCATGTGAATGCCTCTTCTGTGGCAACGTGCCTGTCCATATGTAAAACTAAATACACGTGGGCATGTGAGGGGCCCTGGGGCAATGGGGCACAGTCAGAGTCTTGGCTGTCCAGATGAGGGTGTATACCTCCTACTGCCTTCTCCTCCCTGTCTTTTACTCCAGGGCAGAGGCACAAGCACCAGGTACAGGCTGTAGTCAGAACTCTTGCCCTCTTCACCAGCGCTTGGCTCTTAGGGCGCTGGGAGGTCCCTGCTTGCTCCGGCCTGGAGCGGGACCGGCCTCGGCAGGTTCACAAACTGACATTTCCTCCCCCGCTGAGCTTTTGGGGGCAGGCCGGGTCGCTGCTCCCCCGAGGCCAGGCTGGGCCCCCGGGTAGCAGCCCCCCCACCCCGCCTCCATCCTCCTGGAGCGGGCCCCCGCGGGCTGTGATTGGCTGATTCAAACCCATCGCCACAGAAATGCTTGTTTGCGGGTTCCCGTCGGCGTCCAGTTCAAATCCGCGGCACTGGGCGCGCGGGGCTGGGCTGGGCTGGGGCAGGAAGCGCGGATGATTCATGCGCCGAGGCCTCTCCAGGGCGGCCGTTGGCTTTTTAAAAGGGTGTTGAGGGGGAGGACCGCTTGCAGCAGTGTCCCCTACGGCTTCAGGCACTCCTTTCCTCAGTTGCTCCAAATGCAAACTTTCCCAGCTCCCAATCCGTCGTAGCCTGACTTTGGACGTGAGCAAAATCCCAAATGCCCTCCTATCCTCCCTCCATAGCCTCATATGGAAAAGAAAAGACTCGCGGCCACAAACGGAGACCTGTCACCCACACCCTGCCCTGGGTTGGGGATGTGGCTGGGATTCCCGCTGCCCTGAGGGTACCGCTCGGGCTCCATCTCGGTCCCCATTCCACAAGCGCGCAGCTCCGCAGGACTCCACCCCCCTCCCGGGCATTGTAGGACTCAACCCAGTGCTCTAGAAGGGGGGTCCTGTGCAGGGATTGAAGCGTGAAACGCGGAGTCTCCCGGAGCGCCCGCAGCGCGGGACTTACCGCGAGGCAGCGCGTCCGCCGGTCCCACTTGGAGTCTGGCCACCAGGCACATCGGCGGCGGAGGTGCGCTCGGCCCGCGACTGCCCGGCCGAGTGTCCGCCCGTGGGGCCAGGGTAGGGGTCTCGGCGGGGGCGGGGCGGGGCCCCGCCGCGCGCCCCCGGGGCCGCCCCCGCTCAGCGAGCTGAGCCGGCACACGCGGAAACGCAGCTGTACAGACCCACGGCTAGGAAGGCGTGCGCACACCACACGCAGTTACACCCAGACCCGGGTAGGTTGCCCAGCACCTTGATTTTACAGCACTGACATCCCACTCCACCTTCGGGAGACCCGGGCAAGCCTAAGAGAACCAGACACAGGACGCATATACAAGTCACAACACTCAAAATTATACGGTGTCCTCAGCATAGGCTCCCGCGGAACGACGTGTAAGGCACACAAGTCAGCAAGCATAGAGCCCCGACACATTAACCACAAGACCCACGCGAGCATGCCACCCACGCACTGCAGAGATATAATGCAAAAGAGACAGCCACACACGCCACGTGCACAAACACAGCACTTAGGCAAAAAAAAAAAAAAAAAAAAAAAAAAAAAAAAAAAAAAAAAAGGCAAATTTAGGACAGATCTTGTAGCTATGGCTTCAATCAGATAAAGTCTCCCTCTGGGAGAAAAGACAGAGTGTCCCCACTCAGACTCACTCTTGGCGCCAGGACTGGAGAAAGTGCTGGCTAACACCCCTTACCCACATTCCTGCCTTCTATCTGGAGGTCCCTTGCACCTGCTAGCATGGCGCCTGCAGGCATTCCTCCAGAGTGAGTGCATTCGTGGGAGCCTTCCCTACTCATTGTCCAGTCCCTACATTTAGCCCTCTGCTCCAGAGGATGCTGGCAGTGCAGCCGGCAGCTCCTGTCTGTCTTCTACCTGTCTCCCAACTTGAGATACAGGCGTCCTCTTCCACCCTTCCTCATCCCCTCACCCCTGGGTCTTCCTGCTCCTCTGGTCTTACTGCCCTCATTCTGGGTCTTTGACCAACAGCAGAACCTATTTATCGTGAGGATCTGTCTCTCTTTTGCTGGGCCTGGAAAGGAAATTGGTAGCAGCCCCATCAGACAGGATCTTCCAGTCAAGAAAGGCCAATTCAAAGGCACCCACAGGACCAGCCATTTAGTCACCTTCAGCAGGATAACACCTGTCTGTTCAGAGCCTTTAGGCTGGCCAGCAGAACCTTTAGGATTCCAGGAACAGAGATAGCAGAAGAAGCCTGTCTCTGCAGCTCACAGGCTGGCTCCACCTATCCCTGGATGTGAGCCCCTGAGTGTGTCACTTCAATTGTTGAGCTGTTGGGAAGGTTAGGGGGCTCTGTATGTCACGAAGAAGGTGAATAGTGTGATTTGTCAAGAAATCTGTTCTCACCCGCTGTTCCCCTTTTGTAGGGTATGACTCAGGCTTAGGGCACATGGGTGAGTAAGAGAAAAAAAGTACCTGCAGTCTGGTGGGGGAGTCAGTAGTGGGGTAACATATTTATGTAAAAAAGGATCTGGGCATGGAATTGGGGAATTCTTGCTATGAGGCCAGCCTGAGAAACTGGCATTTGGATAGGATAGAGAGATGGGAGGCACGAATTTCAGGATGAGGGAATTGAATGGACTGGTGCACACACACACACACACACACACACACACACACGCACACACACACACACACAAATTAAAAGTCCAGGTTAAAACATGAGTAGTGAGCCAGGGAGTAGTGGTGCACGCCTTTAATCCCAGCACTCCAGGTTAAAAAATGAGTAGTGAGCCAGGGAGTAGTGGTGCACGCCTTTAATCCCAGCACTCAGGAGGCAGAGACATATGGATCTCTGTGAATTCAAGGCCAGCCTGGTCTACAGAGAGAGTTCCAGGACAGCCAAAACTACATGGTGAGACCCCCCATCTTAAAGAAATCTTTCATTCAATCAATGAATGATCAGTGTTTTCTAAGGCAACATTTATACTAAATTGGAATTATACAGAGACATTTAGCATGACCCTTGTGCAAGGGTGACATAGGGATTCATTATCATTCCATCAGAATTCCGTTTGCTGCAATTCTGGATTTTTTTTTAAAAGAGTTGTTGATGTTGAAAAGCCTTAAATAAAACTGATTTAAAATTTAAAACCAGGCAAAAGGCCATCAATAGATCATTCCCCAAAGAGGAAACCCAAATGGCCAAAATGGCCAAAAATATAGAGATGTTCCTCTTCATCGGCCATGTGACAGATGCAAATAAGGACTGTGTCACATCATTACATGTCCCCAGTGTGGCGAAGAGTTAACATCTGTCTGTTTTAGGGAGTGGGGGCAGTTAAGGTGTAGTGCAGGGGCCTCTCAGGACTTTGGTGAGCTGATGGGATAGCATCAAGTAGGACTTAAGATTCTGGTACCTTCAGTCAAATGGCACTCAGCATATAATAGCAAACAAACAAATAGAATTGTATCCTGAGAGAAACTAAACTAAGACAATGGACTCTAACATGCATACATACTAGAAATAAATGAGCATAGAGGTAGCTAGGTAGCATGTGCTGAAGATGGGCACAGGGGACCCTGAGAAGATTACAGATGTGGAGGCCTGAGGTGTGGTGCTACTTGTTAAGTGAGCAGGGTGGTTATAGGCCACAATTCCTCCTATGTGAGGCATTAGTATCCCCCTCTCCTAAGACTTGTCACAATGTGGTGAGCCAAGTTTGTCAGACATCAGGGAGACAATGGAGGGTTAGAGCAGTGTGCACACACACGCGCACGCACACACACACACACACACACACACACCCCAGGACATGCTCTGTTCCCTCAATTGTGCCTCCTCCTCCCTTGGTGCTGCCTCTCTTTTTAATTCAGTTAAGGAAAAATGTAAAAATGTCCAAGGCAGAAAATAAAAGCCACCAGTGATGGTCTCCATCTTACTCTTAAGTCACCTTTCCTGGAATGCAGTGCACAAACCATAACTCACTTATTCATGTGTACAGTCACTAACTTACTTTGAGAGAATACCATTTTGTTTCAAGACCATTTGCTCAAGTCCTAAGCAACAAAGCATCCATGAAGGAAGGTGCTATGTGAAGTGAACATACTTTTCAAAATATTTTAATGATATGGACATTCAGTCTTTAGAAGTAATTATCACGCAGGTGACTAGTTAGATGGGTCTGTGTTCTGTGTCTAAGTTTGGGGGTCAGTTTAGAGTGTTCTCATCATGGAGATGTTTTCAATCTGTGGTAGAAAACATGGCCATTAACACTATTTGAAAAGGAATGGGTTGAGGGGATCAGATTGTGACTTGTTGAAGTGCCTGTGGCCTTGGTAAGCTGCCAAGCCATAAACACTTTTTACCTGTGGCTTTTGTGGGTAAATAAAAGAAGTAAAGTTGTCTACCCCTGTGGAAAGAGAACCTTTGCCAGCTCACAGAAATACTACTAGCCCACCCCCATGTCACTGTGGAATCCAGTTTCTCCATCTGTTAAAAATGAAGTGATTAGTGGTGGCACACGCCTTTGATCCCAGCACTTGAGAGGCAGAGGTAGGTGGATCTCTATGAGTTTTAGGTCAGCCTGGTCTATAGAGTTCCAGGACAGCCAGGGCTACACAGAGGAACCCTATCTTGCAAAACCAAAACCAAACCAAATCAAAGCAAAAAATTAAGTGGTCCTTCATATCTACTTTCAACATTCAACAGTGAGTTAGGGAGCCATGCTGTGGACACATGCTCTGCTGGGATCTTGAGTGTGCTTTGAAGATGAAGAAAGTCCAGCCAATGGCCTCAGGATGCTCCTGGCCCAGAGCTGGTGTGGGGGAGAAGCAGGATAAGCACATCAGCAGGTAATTGCTAGAAGATGGGGTCAGATAAGCAGCTGGCTTTGAGCAAATGACTTCCAGTATCCCCTACCCCCAACCCATGATCGGATCATCTGATCCTATGACCTATATTTGAGAATTATTTTGTCTCCTTGCTTTTATGGTGTGTTGTCCCATTTTGGTTTTGAGGAGATGGTAAATGAGGCAGTTGTAGAAATTTAGCAGAATCTCTGCATTGGGGTAGATAATAGAACGAACAGCTGTTTTTGTTTTTTGTTTTTTGTTTTTTTTTCAGAAATACTTTGACCTTGAAGAGTCCTTGTGGAAAACTGGTTATTTTGCTGAAGAGGCATTGTAGCTATCCTATGACTTTGGCACACCCGAGGCTCTTGTATTATTGAGTATTTCAAACAATACATAATAAAGGACTGGAGTCAGGGGGCAAGCCATGCTCTCCTTTGGTAAAACATGTAAACTAGATTAGGGACCTTGGTATGAGGAAATACTTTGTGTAACAATCAATAAATACACCTTTGTAGGACTGTTGGGGTTCAGTTCATCAGAGAGGCTGAATCTGCCTGCTGCCACAGGCCTTAAAATTTCACCTTGGAGTGTCTTCTTTCTTCAATCTACCTGCACTATACAGAGCACCCTGACAGAGGTAAAGCTAAGCCATCAAGCCAGTGCCTTACCCCCAGCCCTCAGCTTGTGGCCTTTTGCCTCAGTGAATGTCCTTCTGCAGCTTAGGACACCTTCGATGTCCCATGACATTTCATCTACAGTACTGCCTCACCCCACTCCCACAGCAGTTGCCAGGTGAGCAAAGAACCAGGAGGGCCGAACTTCCTCACCCGTGGTAAGGAGGTTACCTGACATATTCTAGGTCACACAGATGGAAGTTAGACACAGCTACTGGGATCAGGTGGCTGACTGACAGGACCTCCCGTGGCAGCACCCAAGTCCTCATTTTCATGCAGGGAACTGTACCCATGAGAGGCTTGTTCAAGACAAAGCAGGGAAGACTTGCAGGCCGAGTGGAGAATCAGTGGAGAACCCAGATCTGCTCACGATGCTGTCTCATCAGCTCTCAGGCAGTCCCCTGGAGTCTTTTCTTATAAAATGAGTTTTTATATGCTTTAGTTAAAATATAATTATATCACTTCCCCCCTTCACCTCCTCCCAAGCTCTCCTACTCCTTCCATGGCTCCCCCAACTCTCAAGTTGATCCCTCTTTTTCTCCAATCATTATTGTTACATATATGTAACGTGTGTGTGTGTGTGTGTGTGTGTGTGTGTGTGTGTGTGTATGTGTGCTCAAATATATAAATATAATCTGCTGAGCCTGCTTTTGTTGTTTGTGTGCACATGGTTTCAAGGTTTGAGAGGCTCATCCCTGGGAGAGGCTAACTCCTTTTCTTTCTTTCTTTCTTTCTTTCTTTCTTTCTTTCTTTCTTTCTTTCCTTCCTTCCTTCCTTCCTTCCTTCCTTCTTTCTTTCTTTCTTTCTTTCTTTCTTTCTTTCTTTCTTTTTGTTTTTTTGAGACAGGGTTTCTCTGTATAGCTTTGGAGCCTATCCTGGCACTCACTCTGGAGACCAGGCTGGCCTTGAACTCACAGAGATCCACCTGCCTCTGCCTCCCGAGTACTGGGATTATAGGCATGCACCACCAATGCCCGGCCTCTTTCTTTCTTTTAAATTTAAATTTTTCTTGATGTGTATGGGTGTTTTGCTTGCATGTATGTCTGTGAACCATTTTTGTGCCATGGAGGGCAGAAGGCATCAGATCATCTGAAATTGGAATTACAGGTGCTTATAAACTGCAGTAAGAGTGCTGGGCATTGAACCCGGGACCTCTGGAAGAGCAGTCATGCTTTTAACTGTTGAGTCACCTCTTCAGCCCCAGTATTTGTTTTAAAAATTCTGTGGTTAGGGGCTGGAGAGATGACTCAGTGGTTAAGAGCACTAACTGTTCATCCAGAGGACCCAGGTTCAATTCCCAGCACCCACATGGCAGTTCACAACTGTCTGTGACTCCAAGATCTGACACAGACATCCATACAGGCAAAACAAACAATCCACATAAAGTAAAAACTAAAAAAATTCCATGGTTAGCTATTCTGTGACATGAAACAAATTTCAAAGGGAATCCTTGCCCGAGTGGGAAGGTATGAGTGGCCTTTCAGGACCCTTTCTGCTTGGAGAGCTATTAATGAACCTGCTGTCAGGGTCCCATGGCTCTTAGAGACAAAGAGCAAACTCTGAGGCCTTGTCCCCATCTTTTTTGGTCGTTCTGTTCCCAATATTTCGGCAATAATTTTAAGAGTCTTTCTGGGGCCTTAGATAGCTTCTTCTAAGACAGTAGTTTGGGTCCCTTGTCTTCCCACCTCAGAGGAGAAAAAGTCACAAGCCTGCTAGTATGTCCTGCAGACTCCAAGCTTGCAGACCTGACATAGCCTCGCCAGCTAATTCCACAAATCCATCCCTTATCAAGTATAGCATATAGATATGTGTCTGTCTCATATTGGCTCTGTTTCTCCCCCAAACAACTGAAACACACTCTTTTGATGTCTGTGAGGGCAAAAGAGGCAAAAAAAAAAAATCTCTGGTTCCTGGGCTCTATCCCCTGCACCTCAAGTGTGGGAGATCCCACACTTTTCTTCTTACCACAGCCCACCACAGCCATGTCTCTGGTTCCTGGGCTCTATCCCCTGCACCTCAGGGCAGGTGTGGGAGATCCCACACTTTTCTTCTTACCACAGCCCACCACAGCCATGGCTTTTCCTGTAGTCACCTTCTCCACACTCTTGTATGACCTGTCAAAGGCGCCCAGATAGGAACAGAAGCACCAGAGAAAGCTTTGGGCAGATTCGGAAGCTGCCCCTGGGCCTGGTTACTTAGGACATTGGCAGCTGACACCTATTGGGCCTGTGCTGTAGTGTTCCTCAGACCACTGTAAGAGAGGCTGTGCCAACATTTTTATAGCAGCCATAGGTGTCCAGAGCACCACAGGAAATGGTTATTTCCACTATCTCTGCAACAGGATGAAGAACTATGACCAGAATGCTACTTGTCCATGCAGAGTCTTGCTTACAAGCCACCAGGCTGAACTTTTCCCATCTTAGGTAAGGTGGGATCTTGCTGGAGGATAGCAAGGGCCTGCAGTGCCAGCAAGAGACTGGAGAACAGTCCTAGACAATGGCCCAGGGAGCTGCAGGAACTCCACCTAGGCAAGATTCAGTCTGATTCCCAAGGGTCAGCCCAGAGTGATCTGATGTCATTCTGAGTTGCATTTCACACAAGCCTGTCTACTCTCCAGGAAGACACAGTACTTCTACTCTGCATTCATTTATCATGATGTTGGCCAGGAAAGGGGTTAGTCTTCCATTCCCCCAAATGGGGAATTCTTCCTAAAGGAGTTGGAAGGTGGAGCTCAATACTGGAAAGATCCTAGTGACAACTAAACCTCTTGATGAAATAGCCCAACTTAAGCTAATGACAATGTAAGCGAATTTAGAATTAGATCCCTCTTGACTCAAGACCAAGTTTTACCACCTACTAGATGAAAATAGCTGTCCCAAAGGACCCTGACCCCTCTGAAAAATGAGGGTATCAAACCTACAAACACTGTAAATAAAGAAAGGATTTTGAGCCTTGAAGGGAGTAGGGATGGGCAGTGATGACCAAGGCAGCTTCTCATCTTAGTATCCAATCCAGTAAGTGTTTGTTGAGTAACCTGGAAAATCAAGTAATCATCATTGTCCTTATTTGATTACTGCCACTGTTCTAATTTGACCATTGCGTTTGCAGAAACAGGCAAACAAATAATAACAACAACAAAACTCAAGAAAGAGGCTAGGAGTATCGCTTAGTTGGTAAAGTGTTTGCCTTGAGTGTATGAAGTCCCAGGTTGGAGTCTGGGCATGGTGATGCATCCTTGTAACTTTAGCTTCCAGGAAGTGAAGATATGAGGATCAGAAGTTCAAGGTCATCTTTATCTACAAAACAGTCCGGATTACATGAAACCCTGTCCTAAAAAATCCAAACAAACAAAAGCCAAGCAAACGAATAAACAAACCAACATCCATCACCAACCTATCACAATAGGTAGATGCCACTGTACCCACTGTACCTTCTGTACCCATGGCGATGCCACCATACCCATTGTACCCACTGTACCCACTGTACCCAGCGTTTGTGAGCTACAGCCTCATAAATGATCCCACAATGTTTTCTTTTTAGCAGCCCTTTTGACATTTTCACTTTAGTATGTGAAATCTGGCTACTTGTCTTCGGGAGAGTTTATGGAAAAAGAGCTTCCAGCTGGCTTTGGGGCAGCCCATAAAAATGTCCTGAAAACGTTGCCCAGTTAGAAATGAGAAACTGCTGGCAGCAGAGCCAGTGACGCCACAGGCCTCACTGAGGCCCACTGAACTGCACTCATTAGCAAGGGATCCTCCTTCATTCCTTCCTGGTGCCTGGTCTAAAGGATGGGGCCCAGGAGCTGTTAAAGAGAAACCACAGCTTTCAAGTATCGGATAAACACATCCTTTACACAGATGGTCTATGATTCAGACTTTTTGAAAGGGTGTGGACGCAGGAGGGAAGAGTTTCCATAGGGTTAGCTGAAGAGGCTGACATGGACCTCCGTTTTCTGCCTCATCTCTTCCTTGTCTCAGGCTTGAGTCCTTTCTGGAAGTCCTCTTTAGTAACAGCCTCATCAAAGATTTGTTCATCCATGTGACTCTTCGGCTTAACCCCCCCCCCCCCCCCCCACCGGGGGCCCTTCCTCTTCAAGTTCAACCATAGCTGGCTTCAAAGTCCAGTCCTCCCAGCCTTTACCTCCCCAGTGCTAGGATTATAGGCACATGCCACTATGCCCAGCTACAAGGCTTTGTAATATCTCTCTGTCTCTCTCTGTCTCTGTCTCTCTCTGTCTCTCTCTATATATATCTATATATCTATATCTATATCTATATCTATATCTATATCTATATCTATATCTATATCCGTCTGTCTCTGTGGCTTCTCATACACTCCATCCCACCCTCAACCCAGTGTCCTGCAATTTCCACTCAGAGTCTTGGACTACATCCCATACTACCTTGGCTGGGACATATTGCCCCCTTCTTTATGGCTGGATATTTACTTCTCAGACAGTCCTGGACTTTCCTGTGGGAGTGGTTAGGATCCCACAGGCAGGGTTAGATACCTCTGCTTGTGCACCCCTACAGGGTACCCCCTTCACCCTCAACAGGCCCCTTGTATGGGTGATGCCTGGTACAGTGTACAGCAGCACAGCCTTCTGTTAAGCTGGTCAAGGGTATGGCCTAGGCATGGGGTTGGAGAGTGTGTGTTGAAGAACTTCTAGGTGATTCTACTGTGAGGCCATGGAGAAGGGCACTAATTGACAACATGTGACAGGGGTAACACAGCCGTTTATAGGAGCTATACCCTAGACACCCACTTGCCAAGGAGTATGGACTTCACTTCACAACCTCTAAAGCCCAGTAATGTGTTAAAAGAAACTTCGTCCATTTGTCTGGACAGGCAGTGCTATATGGCTGTCTAATGCTGCCCAGCCTCTCCAAGTCACCTGTCCTATCAT